CACATATCACATATCTCATATATCTCATATCTCATATCTCATATCTCATATCTCATATCTCATATATCACATATCAGTATCACATATCTCATCTCATATCTCATATCTCATATCTCATATCTCATAATCTCATATCTCATATCTCATATCTCATATCTCATATCTCATATCTCATATCTCAATATCTCATATCTCATATCACATATCTCATATCTCATATCTCATATCTCATCTCATATCTCATATCTCATATCTCATATCTCATATCTCATATCATATCACATATCTCATATCTCATATCACATATCTCATATCACATATCTCATATCTCATATCTCATATCACATATCACATATCTCATATCTCTATCATATCTATCTCATATCTCATATCTCATATATCTCATATCTCATATCTCATATCTCATATATCTCATCTCATCTCATATCTCATATATCTCATATCACATATCACATATCACATATCACATATCACATATTATATCTCATATCTCATATCTCATATCTCATATCTCATATCTCATATCATATCTATCAATATCTCATATCTCATCATATCATATCACATATCTCATATCTCATATCTCATATCTCATATCACATATCACATATCACATATCACATATCACATATCATATCTCATATCTCACACATATCACATATCACATATCTCATATCTCATATCACATATCATATCACATATCATATCACATATCACATATCACATATCACATATCTCATATCTCATATCTCATATCTCATATCTCATATCTCATATCTATCATAGATATCATATCTCATCTCATATCTCATATCTCATATCTCATATATATCTCATATCTCATATCTCATATATATCTCATATCTCATATCTCATATCTCATATCTCATATCTCATATCTCATATCTCATATCTCATATCTCATATCTCATATCTCATATCTCATCAATCTCATCACACATCACACATCACACATCACACATCACACATCACATATCACATATCACATATCACATATCACATATCACATATCACATATCACATATCACATATCACATATCACATATCACATATCATATCACATATCACATATCACATATCTCATATCTCATATCTCATATCTCAATATCACATATCACATATCACATATCACATATCACATATCACATATCACATATCACATATCATATCTCATATCTCATATCTCATATCTCATATATCTCATATCTCATATCTCATATCTCATATCTCATATCTCATATCTCATATCTCATATCTCATATCATCATATCACATATCACATATCACATATCACATATCACATATCACATATCACATATCACATCACACACATATATCACATATCACATATCACATATCACATATCATATCTCATATCTCATATCTCATATCATATCATATCTCATATGTGATATCTCATATGTGATATCTCATATCTCATATGTGATATCTCATATGTGATATCTCATCTCATATGTGATATCTCATATGTGATATCTCATATGTGATATCTCATATGTGATATCTCATATGTGATATCTCATATGTGATATCATATGTGATATCTCAAATCTCAAATCTCAAATCTCAAATCTCTCAAATCTCAAATCTCAATCTCAAATCTCAAATCTCAAATCTCAAATCTCAAATCTCAAATCTCAAATCTCAAATCTCAAATCGCAACACCACACCACCACACCACACCACACCACACCACTCCACACCACTCCACACCACTCCACACCACTCCACACCACTCCACACCACTCCACACACACACCACTCCACACCACTCCACACCACTCCACACCACTCCACACCACCCACACCACTCCACACTCCACACCACTCCACACTCCACACCACTCCACACCACTCCACACCACTCCACACCACTCCACCCACACCATACCACACCACACCACACTCACACCACACACACATTACATCACATATATTGTATATAATGTCATATATCATATCATATAATGTAATATAATATAATGTAATATAATATCATAAAAAATATTATATTATATTATATTATATAACAATATATATATATATATATATATATATATATATATATGTGTATACATTCATATACATACATGCATATATACATACATGCATGGATAAATACATACAGAGGGACACACAATATATAAAAAATAATTCACACATACATACATGTATACATACATATGCATATATATATTTGTAATTACTTAGACTGTAGATACATATACCATGGCAGAAACACTGAATTCAAAACTGAGTAACTGAATAATCCTATTGGTGTATATTGATTTTTTTCTGCCACTGCATCAGAAGTAGTTCATCACATTTATTTATACTTATATATGAATCATGCTTAGATAAAAACAAACTCAAAACAGGTTCACTGAATAAACCTATATGTATAATAGGATTTTTTATCATTAAATCAGTATGTTTTCTGCTCTATGTATACTTATGTATAAAATGTGAAAGGTAAAAATATTTACTTCTTACAAGTCCGAATATTTATTCAGTATGAATATAAAGCTCTCCGTCTACATCATCCATAGTCTACACCAAAATGTGGTCTGTCCATTGCCTTGACACATTTATGCAAAGTCAGTGATATACTGTACACTTTAAACTATCAATTAACTGATGAAGAATATAGGCCAAAGACACGGAATGCTCTTTTGCTATTTCTTTGATAAAAATAGCTTGATACATTTCTCTATTAGTGAAAGTTTACACACAAAAATTATCAAGCCACAAAAGCTATTACACACACAGAAGAGATGAACTGAAATAAAACAATGTTTAGCAAGTCACAAGAACAAATGCAGTTTATTCTTCATCATCAGATCAACGAGTTATAATGATGAACACTTGACGTAAGTAATGTAGCATACCAACTAATATCTTGTACAAATATTCAACACACACTCAAACTAAATCAAAGAGGATGTGCAGGCTGAAAACACGAGTAAATGCATAATTTTTTCAACAACAAAATGCATCAGATCAAAAATATTACTTTTGAGAATCATTCGCATTATGAGATTTTACACAACACAACAAAAAACCTAGAGCAATAATGCCATCCATAATCACACCCAGTTAAAACACTGCTAAAGCTGTTGCACTCTGTTTACTGACCTTATTGTATTCTTGACTTAGTATGGGTATTTTCCCTAACAATGCTGCCACACTATGTGCATACCAACCATGAGCACCAAGGATATAGTGATATGAAGCATTTTCTGGCAAAATTACAAAACAAGATCCATAACTAAAATATGAAAATTAGTATTACTATTTCTTTGTTTCTTCCATATCACTTATGTACATCCTCCACAAGGATGTCTTTAATTCAATGTAAAAGCAATACAACAATCAATTTCTACTTACAGGTTCTTTCTGTTTTTTTTTTTTTGTTTTTTTTTTCTACTTGCAAAATCTGTACTCAACACAAATCAAAACTGGATGCAGTTATCTGGCACCTACTAGGAATTCACAAATTAAAGGGCTTATTTTGTTAATACTGTAATGACATTGTTTCTTGGAAGCACTTGTCTTTCATTTGTGCAATCTACAGGGAACAGGGGGAAAAAATGTTGATATTTGTTCTTTTACTTGTTTATGTCATGGATCTATTTGGAAACTGAAGTGCAGATAAACAACAAAGTGCAGCTCAAGTTTTCTTCTTTTTTTCAGGCCATTCCCTGTACAGTCCATCAAATGTGTTTTTTTTTTCTAGATTTTCAATGAGTCAATAAGATATTGAAATAAATAAAATTTCATAGAACCCTATCACGTTCAAAGGAAATATTGCTACAATAAAAAGGCCAAATCAATTAAGTCTTGAGTTACAATAGACTCCTCAGCAGGCTAAAAAAAAAAAAAAAGATGATCAGTGTCGGTTTGATCATCATATGAGGTGTTAAATCCAATTCAAAATGTTATGATTTATTGTTACTTTCTTGGTGTTCCATTTCATCTTTGTACAAACCTTATTGTGTTTGTGTTCTATTATTGCATTAAATTTAGTATGAGGCCTATAAGTATGCAAGTTCATGAAATTACTATATCTTTACTTTTCCTTAATATTTAAGAAAAATTGGAAGTTAGCAATTCTAAAAATCAACAGATCAGTGGAACATCTAAAATTGATACTGGTAGCATCCCTTGCATATCTTCCTTACAATTAATAAAACATTGAGTTTGATTACTGTAATTATTACATTGTACACCTTTCCATTAAAAATTATGCCTAATAATCATTTTGTGCTTTTCTCTTTCCTCAAGGTTAAAAAAGAACAAATCAATACTACCAATATTCACAAATGAATTAAAGTGTTTTAGTAACATGAAGGCAAAGGGAAAAAATATAGAAAAATCCGTAAACGTAAACATGCACCGCAACTTAAATTCCTATTTATTCCACAATCATGAACATAAAAAAATATCATGAATGGTACGTCCTCTGTCTGCCACAAATATGCCATTATTTCACTTTTGATAAAAGGAAAACATACCCCATAAACTGTACAAGATCCCTACTTTTTATGTATCTGATATATATATTTACTTTTTTTCACTTTTGAGCATTTCTAATTGGTGAATAATTATAACTAAAGGTAAAAGTAATAAAGTTAAACATATGTAGGAATTTCTTGTTCTTTTTCCTCTATCATTACTGTTATCATTTGTGCGTTCAAGCTGCCAAATCCCTGTAATATTGGATAAAAGGACGAATGGACATGAGTTTCCAGAAATAGCCATCTAATGCAGTATCAACAGACACAATGTAAAAAAATGCCAAATTCATAAAAATAATTATTCTATTTTACTATATCCTCAAATACCCAACTAGTCAAATTATCAGTAATTCTGCAACAATATCTAAAAACACAATACTCAAAACTACAAATAAAATAAAATGAATTAGAATCTACAAAAAGCAATAAGGATTTATTGTTTTTCTTTTTCATATATTTACAATAAAATGTATGTGCATACTTGCATGCATTCAAATGTGTTTATGTGTTTGTGTTTTTGTCTGTGTCCATGTTTGCATTTGTATGCTTGTCTATGTGAAGGGAGAAAGGAAAATGGAAAGAGGAGAGACAAGAGAGAGCAGACAAGAGAGGTGAGAGGTGAGCAGGGAAATGCTAAAAGGAAAGAAAAGACGGAAAAGTAAAGACGAAGAGGAAAAATAGGAGAAGCAAAGACGATGAGGAAAAGAGAAAAATTATGTTGCGTTAAGACACAAATACTTGATACTTGGTCAAGAAAATTATGGTTAATTTGATATAATTTATATTCATATACTCTACACAGATAATCATCCTGACAAATAAATAATTTTTTCATCCATATAAGAAAAACTATCTTTTACAGTTTCAAAGAATAATTTCTCAGGCTAAATACTTCTTACCTTCAGGAATGGATCAGAGCTTATCTGATGACTTACATATACAATATCCAAACATGATTCAATAAACTTTCTTTGCATATCAATATAGCATCTTACATTAGCTTAAGTAATTGAATATGCATACATTATCAGTCAAACAACTGAATTTTCCCATAATTTATGTTTTCTTTTTCTTTTGAGGTCATTACCTACAATTTTTCTAAAAAATATCAGTAGCTCCATATACATACTCTTCTGATAAATAAAATTTACAGTAACATCTTCCAACCATACATAAGCCTGACCCTACCCCCATTATAGGAATTACAAGCATGGAAACAAGGACCAGGTCTGTGGATGCCTGATTCCTTTTTCATCTTGTGTAATAAACACGGTAATACAAGGTTTTACTCCGCCACAGGGAGTAGGAATTATCAAACTTGAGTAAATAAACGCCAGTGCCAGGATAGGCATGAGACCCAGCATACACCTCCTCATGGCAGTCTCGTCGGTACACAGGAATTATTACTGACTGGGCTGGTCGGCCATTCTCGTGCTTGCGGCCAGCTAACCTCTCAACATCATCACCCTCACCTGTAAATAAGGTGCATGATCTTTCAACCTTTGTTTTTTTCCTGGGATGAACATATATACAGTATATATATAAATAAATAATAAATAAATATACACATATACATATATATACACATATACATATAAATATATTATATATATTACATATACATATACATATACATATTACATATACATTTTTAAGGTAGGACATTCCATTATTCAAATGATAACCCAAAATATAAGCCTGAGGGTATTAGATTTAATTAAAAGAATAGAACAATAACATTCATCAACTACCTTTCAGGTTTCTTCCTCTCCTCCTCTTCTTCACTCTCTTGAGATTGTGAACAGACACTACATTACTTGTATCTTTTTGTCCAACTCAAAGTAAGACACAAAAGCCAATATCAATAGTTATCAGTGGCAAACTCCCAAAAAACAAGCATGTTCCATCTTCTGGGTAGAGAACTCGGGACCTGTAAAAAGGAAAATTGGGATAAAAACTTTAGCAATGGCTAACATCTAAAATCTGTGGGCTGTATTTGGATTTTCGACAATTCATAGTCAATCCAAGGCGCACTCAAATGGAGCATAGCCTCTCAAAAACTGGTGGGCTGGTTTCCCCACACTTTATCACTGTTTTGGACGAAAATGTTGGG